GAACATTACATGCATCATCTTAATCCTTAGTTCAACCTTTTTAGGAGTTTCATTCTTCTTGCAAAAATTAGGAGAGTGAAGCTACGGTGTAACCTGTGCATGGCAAGTCAGCTTTCCAATCCCAGAGTCGGACTTAAAACTGAGTTTTCGGCCGGTGTAGCCTATGTCCTTAACCACTTTGTCTGCTGCCTCTCTGCACGTAGCGTGAGACATTGTACCATGTAGATCAAGGTGAAGGGGGAGAAGGCTTTTCTCAAATAGTGTATTTAGAGGGGCTGGAAACAGTCTGGCTTTCTAGAACTCACTGAAGATGACAACAGCAAATAGATGCCAAAAGTGCATCATGTGCTAGGGCCTGTAAAGCAAGCAAGTCTTATGTATTAACTAACTTAGTATTTCCAACAGCTCCATAAAATATTACTGCCCCAAGATTATCCCTGTTTTATGGGTGAAGAAAGTGGGGACCTGAAACATGAGGTTGAGGAAGTGGGGTCAGCTCCAGGGTGCAGAAACAGCCCTCTGCATGGGGCTGCATGGGAATGGGTAAGTTGCTGGTAGGAGCAGGGACAGAGGGGGCACAGGTGTGGTGCCAGGTAACAGGTTGCTATCCACAGGCAACCCGGGGATGGGGACCTAAGACTGCATGAGGCCAGTGTTCAGTAAATGTCAGGTAACATTCATGGGCATCCTTTATTACTGACAAGTTCATAAACCAACTAACTTGTTAATGGAAGCATCATTATAAAAGGTATATATGCAATTGCAAGTTTATTAATTTTTCTTAATACACATATTGTAACTACTAAAATTTTTTTTAAAATTAATCACTATGTTACCTAGAATGATCTCAGGTGGCATCCTGGGCTAGAATATGATGCTCTGGGACACTGGACTGCCATTAGGAGTTGCTGTGTAGGATTGCTCAAGGCTGAGAGAGGGGAGGAGAAAAGCAGATAAAATAGAGTATGTACATGCTGTAGGGGACACAGGAGAATGGGTGGGAGGGAAGTAAAGGGTCTGGAGTAGCTAAAGTCTTGAAAACAAAGGGTGTCTGTTTCTCGATGGCGAGGCCATGCTGCAGACAGGGCTGTGCAGCAAGCTGGCCAGTACCAAGGGGCAAGTGTAGCCTCAGTCAGCAGCTCCTGCTCAGTCCAGAACGCACAGCAGAAAGAAGGCTCTTTTCTTTGTTTCCATGGCCTGGGAAGGTGTGTACCTTTTTCTTAACAACAATAACAAACAAAAAATAAAACCAGCTTCTGGAACATTTTTGTAGTAAAGCAAATATTGCCTTCTGTTCACTTTTTCATTCTGTCTCAGACACTGTATTTGTTACTTGAAATACATCAATACGGACAGATTTTCATTGGAAGTAGTGTCACTCTAATTATCCAGAGTTGGGAACATCCTGCAGCGGTGATACATGAATTGGTGTGCTCTAGAAAATTATAGAATGCAAGAAAATATGGAAGTCAAAGGCCATTAGGTCCAGAGTAGCATCTTCTCATTGAAAGGTGTTTAAGATGAATGTAGCTTAATTCAAAACAACAGTATTAACACAAAGCAGGGTCTTTTTAAAACCTTGAAGTAATAGGTTGAACCACATGAAATTGCCAATAGTTGCTACAGATAAGACAATCTCATAGAAGTCAGTTTATATACACCCTCTTTTGTTAACAAGTTTACAGTGTTTAGCTCAGAGAGCTGGGACACATTTAATCCACACTGGTCTGAATTACTATCTGTTTTTAAAACAAGGGATATGTGGATATATATTTATGAATCATTTGTTTTCATAACAAAAAACAATCACTGCTAGCTTTTCATGAATTAACTAAATAAGAAAGCAGACATTTCTGACTGACTTGACTACAAGGCAAGTGTAATTCCTGATAGCAAAAAAAGACATACCCCCTGGTGCAGGGGAGGCTGTGCACCTCAGCTCTCCCGGCTGGCTTTATTCTCCGGGATGCTGGCGCCCATGTGGTACTGTTGCAGGTGGCCATAGTGGCTGGGCAGTGGCCAGCTGGAGGTCAAGGTTACTTCAGCAAATGTCTTTCTAAAGGAATCAATACCCTCTTTTTATTTTCCTGAGGAGATTGGGTTCACATACTGCCTATGTGGTATGAGACTCCCTTCTCACATGCATAGTTTTGTTTATGTTTTCTTTCAAATTCCAGCAAATTTATGTTTTTTCATGGACAGGGCAAAATCTATTTTTAGTTTGCAATCATAGTAACTATAGAAATAAAATTCAAAGGTAGGTATTTTATTATTATAAAAAGATCTAATAAATATCTTAAGATAATATTAAAAATAAGTCAGGGGTATTGGCCTGGGATATTGTGGTATAAATAAGCATTCTCTGCACATATTTTAGCTATAAAGAAACATTTTTGCATTTTGATTTGAGGTTCTACTGCATCAATCATTCTAACTCTGGATTACAAATTGATAAAATTGTAGAACTAAACAGTGATAAATTCTGTAAGGAAAGCATGGTAGGCATCATTACATAATGAGCAGATACACACACACACACACACACACACACACACACACACACACACACTCTGTATGGTACCCCTTTTTTTAGGACAAATGAATGAAACACTCCTGCAAAGTGATGCTCAGGCATATTCCAGGTACAAACTCTTATAAATTTACATATGATAAACAGTCTAAGGAGATGTTTGCAGCCATTTAGATTAGCAAGGAACATTTTGAAAGTCTGGTTGCAGGGAGTGGGGACACTGTCAGTTGCTCAGGAACAAGTATCCTCTAAAGGAAAGTCACATTTTCTGGCTTTCAGTTGGGCTCAGCAGAATATATTATTGTTTAGCCTTGCACTAGAGCAACACCATTATTAATTATGCAAACAATTTTTTTTGGATGGCTAAAAGAATTTGAGAATGACTCAGCAAGAGATTTCAAAACCAAATACCCTTACCTGCTTATTGAACAACTCTCTTCAAATCTGCTTTCTGTTCTGTGACCTGGGGTTAAAAGTTTGAGGTCTACAGATGGGAGGCTCCATCACTGCAGTGGCCTCTGAAAAAGCCCCCGTTTGCCAGAAACATGTCATCAGTCACTTCTACCTTGTCCTCCAATCCTCTTACTCTTAGTTTAAATTGGAAATAGCTGATACTTGTTCAAGATTAGCCTCTAATTTTTCTTTACCACACTCAAAATCTAGTCAAACTCTTTAACTCTAAACTGGGCCTTCCTGTCAAGTGTGTTGTGTGTGGTTACCTTCCTATTTCTCTCCAGATGACACTGCAGGTTGATGGTAACTTGGAAAAGCGTGTGTGTGGCCAGTGGGGGAAGGTGTATTTAAATGTTAATTTAAGATGTAAAGGCAGCAGATGATTTTTTACAAGTCCCTGCATCAGTGACAGTTCAAGATTTAGTTGGTAAAGGAATGAAGGCCCCCAGTCACCAGTCCCTTGGAAATTTGGGGAGGAGAAGTCCTCACACCTATTTTGGAAACCACTTGCAGATGTGGGGAAACCTCTGAATTGCTCACAACAGGGGTTTTGCAGAGATTTCCTCTGTTTTTGTTTTTTTTTTTCTTCCCAATTCTCCACAACCTGTGTTTGTCTTGCGTCTGTGAGGCTGACATGTGGTGGCCTCGCTGCCGCTGCCAGGTTTTACACGCTCTCCTCCAGAGCACAGCGGCAGGACCCCAAGGAGACTACCCAAGGCTCCTATTGCCCAAGTTCGCCCCCAGCGCCCCCATCTCCTCTTGCGCCACCGGAGCCGCAGAGAGTCCTGCGTTTCCTGCGGCTGAAATCTAGTTTGAGTTTGGAATTCTTAAAAATTGCCATTCTGAGGATATTAGTGTTGAGCAAAACTTTGCTGGTTGAGGACTTTTAAAGTAGCCTATTTCCTTGCTTAAGGTTGCAGGGACTCACTTTCCCTCCTCTTGCCGGCTACACCAAGAAGAGACGCACTAGCTGTGTATCTGCGGGCGGGGAGTAGGGATCTGCAGCTTATGTTTTAGGGGGAGGTAGGAGTCTGTTACTTATTTGGAGGTGGGGTGTAGGGATCTGCAGCTTATTTGTGGAGTGGAGGGTCTACAGTTTATTTAGGGGGTAGGACGTAGAGGTCTGCCTCTTATTTGGGTAGGGAAGGAGTCTGCTCCTTATTTGGGTGGTGGGGGTGCGCGTTTATTTAAGGGGTAAGGGTAGGGGTCTGCCCCTTAACTGGGGGGTAAGGAGTAGGGATCTGCCCCGTATTTGTGGAGGGGGTAAGAGTCTGCCCCTTATTTGGAGAGTCGGTAGGGGGTCTACGGCTCAGCCACGGTCCCGCGCCCCGCCCGGGTCTGGCACTCCGGCCCGACACGTGCGCCGCCGGTGAATCGCGGCTAGCGGACGCTGAGACAGCGTCGGTCACTTTCGTCCCTGGTGGGATCAGCGGGGCTGCCGCCGCTCGGTGTATGTTTGTGTAAGGCTATCAAAGGAGTCGGAGGGGGGCTGCGCCCGGATCTCGACCCTGATTGTATGAATAAGTAAGCAGGATGCGAGTGATTGGGTCAGATGCTGGAAGATTTTTTTTTTTTTCAAGTTAGGAAGAGGGTAAAAGACAGGCTGGGGAAGGCGCTCGGCGCATCCTGCGGCCCCGCCGGTGCTCTCCTCGCGGGCGGCGCTTGGGGCCCGCCGCTTCTGGGCTCGCGGACATGCCCGCCCCCCGCGCCCTCCCCCGGGGCCCGCTCTCGGCGCCGCGGTGCTGATGCACAGGCCGGACCCTCTTCCCGGAGCGGCGGGCGGCTGGCGCTGCACCGCAGGGTCCCGGTAGCGAGGGCGCGGGGGCCGCTGAGCCGGGGGCCAGGCTTCGGGACCGAGCTCCGGGCGCCGCCGAGCCGCGGGAGCCGGGCCGCCGGAGGACGGCCTGGCCGGGAGCGCCCGCCCCGCTCCGGGACCGAGCGCGCCCGCCGCCGCCTGGCGGGCCCGGCTCCTTACCTGCCCGCGCCGCGCCCTGCCGACGACCCCGCTCCGGTGACAGGCAGCTCCCGCCCTTCAGCCCCGGCGGCGCGCGTATGTCGGCGGGCACCTGAGCGCGGTCCGCCTCGGAGTGGAGTGCGGAGCCCCGCACGCCGGCGGAGCCCTCGGGGGGCGGAGGATGGGGCTGGGGGCGCTGTCCCCGGGGATGCTCCTGTGGCTGCTGGCCTCGGGGGCTGTGCTCTCCGGGGAGCTCTGGCTGTGCGCCGGCCGCGACTGCGACTACCCTTCGGAGGGCAGCCCGGAGGACAGCGCGGAGACCATCGACTACAAGGACCCGTGCAAGGCCGGTGAGTGCGGCCACGGGCGGGCGGCGGGGCTCCGGGTGGCGAGCCCACCTGTTCCCTCCCCTCCGCCTCCCTCAGGCGGCGCCGGTACTGCCTGAGCTCGGACCGGCTCGGCGTAGCGGTGTGGCCGGCCCAGGCGGCCCCGTCCCCGCGTCGGGAGCCCTCCACGGTCCGGTCGGCCCCGCAAAGCGGACCCTCCGGGGCGGCTGTCCTGACGCCACGCGCGGCGGCCGCCCTGCCTCGGGGGCACAGCGCCGCCTCCTCCAGGGCCCGAGTCCCCGAAGCTGGACGGAGCGGCCCCGCGGGCGCGCTCGCTCCCGGGGCCTGTGACCTGAAGGCGAGGCTGTGGCCACGCGGGAGCGCTCACCGAGGTGCGCGCCGACGCGTCCCCCTTCTAACAGCCCTGGCCGGCTCCGGGGGCCGCCCGCTCGCGCTCGCGTCCCCTTGCGCGCTCCCGCGCCGCCAGGGCGCCGGAGCCCTCCCCTCTGCTCCTGCTCGGCGTATCCTCCGCGGCCCGCGCTTCTTGCCAGCAGCCTTGGGTCCGGGCACGTGCGCCACCACGTGACAGCGCCGCCGCCTTAGTTCGAAGCCCCGGGGCTCTTGGTCCCAGCCTCCACAGAGTGGAGGTCGAGGTGGCCCGCAGTCCGTGGACCAAATCGGTAAGGAGGGTTAAAGGGAGGAGGGCCGACGTAGATGGGTCATCCCCCCGGACTGGCCTCTCCAGACCCTCAGCTGGGGCAGCCTGTCGGTCCCTCGGGGGCCCACCGGCCGTCGGAGGGGAGCGTGGGCTGTGGCGCTCCGACGGGCCGCCGTCGAGGGCATCATGGACATTCCGTGCGCGCGCGTGCTCACTGGGAGAACACGGGCCACCCTGGTGCTCGAGGCATGGCGCCTGGTCCCTGTCCACATCCCCGTGGGTCCTTGGTCCTCTCCCCTCCCCCTGCCCGCGTCTCAGTCTCTGGGCCCCGTGAGCACTTGGGCCTTCCCTTGCCGCATTACCCTGTGGAGGGCAGGACATGGTCCGCTCTGGTGATCCACGGCTGCGGGGTCCTGGCTGCACGCTCGCGGTGCGACCCGTGTTCGGGGTGGTTTGTTTTCCCCAAGCAGGGAGAGGAATGGAGTAGTATTTCTGAGATTTCCGAGGAGGAGCATTCCCAGCCCACCGTGAGGAAGGGCTCACGCGCTGCTGGACTGGACCAGGGCGCGTGTGTTTGCGTCCCAGAGTAGGGCCAGTAGGCCCAATGCAGGATCCCCTCAGATTTGAGTGAGAGTTTAGGATCCTCAGTCATTATCCTCAAATGAATGTAGGAATATAGCATGAGGAGGGTCAGAAACTAGGTAATGCATTCTCAGAATAAGTGTTATTTCAGGCTTATCTTATGTTAGAAATTGTCAGAAGTTTCTGTGAACTTGTCTTTTTCTATTTAAGAATGTTTTCAATTTTAAAATTTAAGTGGTTGTACCATGTATACTGAAACACACCTCAAACATAAATGCTTGTTTTCCTCAGCAAATAAACATGTAGGTCAAGAACAACAAAAAAACCTGTTAAGAGTAGTTACTTTTGTTTTTCTTTTAATAGTAATTTATGTTTTAACACAGCTGTTGAAGATAAACAAAAAAAACTTTGTATTATTACTCGATAACATAGAGAAAGGATAGAAACTCATGTTCCCGAGTGGAGTGTGTGTGTGTGTGTGTGTGTGTGTGTGTGTGTGTGTGTGTGTGTGTAGTTAGGGTGAAATGAGGTGACCAAGTGGGAGGCTGAGAAGTATGCCCCAAGTCACCTTTTAGATGATTAAGCCCTGCACTTTTGGGAATATGAAAGGCTTTACTTTACCATCTTGGCTGAAGATTGGCAAAATCTTTTGTTTTGCCTCCCTTCTGGCACCATATAAGACAAACACAAATTGTAATAACAGGAAAAAAATTAAATAGGACATTGAAATTCCAAACAAGAGTCGAAAAAGGTCATCTAAAATAAGAATGACGAGGACAGATACGTGAATGGTAGCCATGCAAAAGCAAGTGAGGGTGCCATGCAGGCCAGGGGCTGCCTTTGATGTGCCCGCCTTCCCAAAGAGTACCCTTTCTGACCTTCCCTTACGGTGGCCCTCATGTTCCTCAAAGTGTTTGGTGGCTTGATGTCATAATGAACAACACGGCTTTATGGTTTCAGAGCACGTTGGAGTTCATGCCTTCGGCCCAACACAGGTGGAAAGACAGCTGTTCTGTGAGGTCCAGCACTTCAGATTCCTGAGAATTTGAATCCAGGCCTCCTGTCTGCAAAATGTGCACTCCATTTTTAGCTGGCCTTTCCCAGGCCTTCCTTGAAATGCAAACAATAGCAATTTACCCCTGTTTACCTGGGGTCTAGACAAATGGAAATATAGTTGTTTTATGTCTGACGCAAGTGAAATGGCTATGAACCTAGTTTCTCCTTTTCCAACCCGATTAGAATAAAGGGTCTTTGAGGACTGACATCATAGCTGATTTTTAATGTTTACCTTAGGGGCAGATTACTATTGTCAGGTAGCTAGTAAGTTCTTCTCATTACAGTAGACCATTAATATGACCTTCATGCCTCATCTATAAACTTCTAACCAAGATCAAATGTTAACTGAGGAGAAATATTCTTCATTATAACCTGTTGAAACTGTGCCATCCTTAATATATTTGTGAAGCAGAATATAATTATATATTGATTTCACATGAGAATGGTGATTGCAAGTTCACGAAACTATAAGACAGAAAAGAAGTCTCCTGTTAATTCAATTGAACTTTGGTTTAGAAAGACATTTTTCATATGAGTGAAAGTAGGCAGTAAGTCAGGGCAGTATAACTTCAGGTATAGTTATACAGTTAAATCCACTAGGACAGAGTAGCGGTCGTTAATCACTCCATATAAACAGACACAAAGATGCAGATAATTCAAAGGAATGTCTGCCTGTCTTCAGCACAGCACCCTGTGTCTGCAATCAGATTTCTCTTAGTCTGTGTAGTGCAGAGGGTTCTGGAGTCCTGGGGAGGCTGATACTGCAGAAGGCCGTCCAGGGCAGCCAGGGGCCCAGTTTCACCACTGCTTTGCACCAGCACCTCATCTGCACATTACTATCCGTGAAGGGCCTGGGCAGAGTCAGGGCAAATCAGCCTCAGATTTGTCTAAAGACTGTCCGGAAAAGCAGACCTGATAAGCCTGCGCTATCCCCTCCCCACCTCCATTTGTATTTAAGGGGATGTCGGGAAAGCTCAGGCAATTGGAAATACAACATCCAGTAAGGGAGATGGAAGCAATCAGTGTTTGAGTGATGGATAGAGGCTGGTAAGATGCATGAGGCATCCTTATCCTCTTAGCGTGAGTACCAAGACAAAGACTTTCTGCACGGACTCTTCTGAGTATGTGACTTCTTTTGTTGGGAAAAATCCAAGAAGGATTAGAGGTGGGTAATTTAGAAGGTTAAATTTGCCTTTAGATTAGCATATGCACTCCTGTTTACATGGAAACAGGCTTGTGACCTCATCCTAAAGGACTCTTCACTCTATAGCCTGTGTCCCAGTGTCCTGGGATGTGAGTTCTGGGGATAATTTTCCTCGGTTTGTAATCTCTCAGGCCTCAGTGTTGTACTTCTGGCTTCATTGGCACCTCCTGGTTTGGCATTTTAGAATTTGATGTTCAAGCCCCTGTTTATTTTTTTCCATCAGAATATTAAATATCCAAACATATTTTTTTGGTTGGTGCCTCTCTAGATCGCCAAACTCTCACATAAAAATGCAATTCATAGAGCTGCTCCTCTTAAACAGTCTCTTCTGTTTTAGTTCTCAGCCCTTAGATCTTGATACATTTTTCTCCTTCTGCTTCTGGTGTGAGCTCCAAAGTGGCCAAAATACAGTTTTTGCAAAAGGGATGGATAAGGCATGGTATTCTGTATACTTGAATTCTGTTCTTCATTTGCCTGTAGTAATTCTTTAGCACTTGTCCAGAGGGCCACATGCATTTTCAGCCCACAAATGGCAAGTTAGGATTATTGGGTATGAGTAAGATATCTTTTCCTTAAATATATCCCTTGAGACTAAGCCAGCTTTAACTCTCCTTTTTGTTTGTCTGTTTACGCATAGTCTCCTGAGACCTTCCTAGTTTTGTCTGTAAGGGGAATACTGCAAATTCAAAATCTAACTGGAATACCTTCTCCCAGGTAGTCCATGTAGAATTAATGGACTCCTTGTGGTTTCTGGTGACCTCTCCCTGCTCTGTGAGTCCTCCCGTAGCCCACGATGAAGCAGTTAAACGTGTGTAAGAACCTAGCAAAGCTTTTTAAGAAAGTTACTGATCATTTCGGAGCTTCCCCTCTTGCCCTCACGATGGCTCACTTATCTACAAAAGTCTGATATATGCTCGGTATAGTTTCTTCTTCCAGAAACCGTATTGTCTTGCCCCGCTGTGTATGTATGAATCCTTTTTTTGTACATCTTAGCAGCTTTCCCTGATTTAAAATGTAGACTCTGTTGCTTGTATTCACTGCCACATTCTTTGGACACTGAGAACACTAGTCACATTAGTAATCCCTTGGGCTTCTTGAACAATGAGTGTACTGGACAGCAGTTAGCCTTTGAAGTTTCCTAGAACTCAGGTGGATAGTAGCAAGGGCTAGTGATGTACCACCATTAATATCTTTTCTTTTTAGAATGTTATTTCTGATAATACCTTAGGACCTATCTGTTTAAAATATTTACAACTAGGACACTCTCTGAACTTTTCTAAGAATGCTTGGAAAAGATAGAGGCTAATAATCCCTTTCAAACAAGGCCTTGCATATCCTGCTGGGACCATCTGGTGTCTGGGGAGGTGGGGAGGGATGTGCTGCTGCCCTGAGCTGTGGAAGAACCTCCTGCAGCATTCTAAGCCCACGGGTAGGCTCAGGCTAGGCCAGGGCTCAGGTGTCTGGCAAGATTCCAGCGATGCATGATTTCCTTTTACTGGGGGAATTTTGAGGCCTTTTACAGTA